ACCTCGCCCCATAGAGTAAGAACTGTGCCTCACACATTTTGTCTTGTTTTGTGCCTTTGGTTCTTGATTTATTGCACTGCTTCTGTTTTATGTGAACCACGTATCAAGAACTCAAGGTTTTATATACAAGTATAATGTAAAAATGTAAGCATATTTAAATGAATTCAAACCACATCTTTAATGAAAAGTATTTATTTTAGTTGTGCAAATGCTGCTTCACATAAAGACTAAAAACACTGAAAAGACACTATGAAAAAGTAAACATATAGAGTGTCGCCCCCGCCCAGCCCCCTCCCCCAACATGGTCAGGAGAGGCATTAGCTACAAAACGAGCTCCTTCACCATGTTCTCTGGTCACTTCCTGCCTGGCAGCTCCACCTCTCCTCAGCTCACGTCCAAACCATCTCCACCTCATCTCTCCAACTTGATCTCCAAACTGCCACACTTCAACGGTCCCTCTGCTGGGCTCGTTTCTAACGCTGCTGTGTGTTGTGGCTGCGTGAAGGCTGGTAGGGATAACATTTCCTTCAACACAGCGAGGCCTTCGTTCATACTGTTTGTGATTTGAGTTATGGCTGCCGTCAGCTGCTGAAAACTGTCGGAGCTCCGTCGATTCCCCTCCAGCATAGCGTCCACCATGGCCTTTTTGAGCTCGAGCTCCTCACGAGCGTAGTTGACCGGATCTTTCCGCTTCAGCCTCTCCCCTCGGTGGGTGTTCGGTCTTGCCTGGGGTGGAGCAGGGCACATTTGCCTCATTATTTCGTTGAACAAGTAAACTTTCGCCCCTTAACTGTGCTCACACCAACAGTAGCATAAAAGCATAATCATACCTGACGCAGGTCCCTGCGCTGCTGTGTGGCCGCTGGAGGAAGACTATCCGGTGAATTAACCGAGGAACTGGACTGCACATCGTCGGCCGAAAGCGGTGATTTTGTCTCTTCTCCAACGTCTCGACTCTCCAAACCGTGGTCCAAAGCAGTCGTTGTTGTCGACTCCCCCCAGATCTGCTCACAGAGCTCATGAAAAATCAGCACCGCGCGGCCATGGCCACTGCGGCGCCCAGAGTCCAGCGCGTGCCTATACTTTGTACGTATGCTCTTCAGTTTGGTGGTAATCTGGGGTTTGGTTATCGTGGCGGATTTATGAGGGAAATCCATTTCCGCAGCATCGCCCGGGTACTCGGCCTGAAACGCCTCCGTAATGTCCCCGTACTTCGAGTGGCAACATTCCCAGTCTACACCCTTCTGAATTTGGGCCGTCTTGTAGTCCAACGTGACTCGAAGTAGAAGTTCCACCTCGCTGTCGGTCCACACCAATGACTCAATTCTTCTGCTGGAATTCGCCATTCTCTTGTTTCTCTTGTTATGTCGAGTGTGTTTACAGTTTACATGCCTTATACACTGGCTCTGTGGCTTCTTTTCCGGTTTTCCGAACTTCTTCATGTATTAATATGTTGGAGCGGGGTGACACAGCGCCCCACATACGCTTGGCATATGTATTACAAAGATCGCAGTCGTATTCAGCAGCTGTTTAAACGCTGAATTTCCATAATAATAACAATAAAAACTGAAATTGCGCAGAAATTAGATTTTATTTTGCTTGTTTATCCAAGAGAGAAAATAATTATATGGCCTATTTTATCAAGCGCTGTAAAAGTGGTAATATCAAGTGTGATTCTGTCATATGTTGGTGAAGCCATTTAGCTAAATTAATCTTTGCTTTTCTTGTAAGATTAAATGTCACATTTTATTTATCCAGAGACTAACATTAACTATGTTTATTATAAGTTTGATCATGTTTACTTTTAAAATAAAGAAACATGGGGCTAAATTAACTTTAAAAATATTTCCAACATTTTTATCTTCAGCTTTGTTCCTTTTTTGTTTCGGGGTTGCCACTCTGCATGACCTCCCTCAAATGGGAAATAAAATACAGTGTATACGTATTTTTAAAAAACACCAATTGCCTTCCGTTGAACAGCAGTTTCATGCCACTGTAGATTTGAGGGTGTGTTTTTCAACACTGACCGCTAGATGACAGCAACCGACCGCTTAGTTTCGGACAACAGCAATAGAAGGAGAAGAAGTCGAGTTGAAATATTCGTTAGACTGATGCATACAACAATGTACAGTATTCTGTTCAATACTGTTTTTAGTACCACATTAGCCAGTGGCTAAATCGTGTAGATATGTCGTATTTGTTCGACACAAGACATCGACGGTCGGTGTATCGCTAACGGTAAGCTTTTAACTGCCTTACCATCAGTTTAAGTGTAATTTAATATCTGAATGTTAGCAGCGACGTTGGCTAGCTGCAGTTAGCATCTTAGCTTAGCTTCACACAAACAACAGAGTCAGAATCAGAGCCACCAGAAATACATTCTCTATTCTTGTAGTTTTAAACGTTTTGGGACCATTTATTCTGAACAGTTGAACGTTGTATAAACTATAAATGTTGTAAAAAAAACTAGTTATATAAAAACTGTCACGTTGATGTAAATGAACACTATAAATGTTGTAAAAAAAAACTAGTTATATAAAAACTGTCACGTTGATGTAAATGAACACAGGCAGCTGTCGGCTCAAGCTATTTTTTAAACTTTTTTGAATTTTTTTTTTTCAGCCTAACTCCCCAAATCTCAGCTCTCAGCTCCAGTTCTTTCCCAGACCTGAGGTGCTGAGATCAAGATGCTGCTGAAGATGCCCCAGAAGCTGCTGAAAACTGCCCACTACATAGAGCTGGGTAGTTACCACCACTGGCCAGTGCTGATACCCCAGAGGATAAGACTGTACACCTACGATCAAATCCCCCTGTTCCTTAAAGAAAACCCGTACATCACTGACGGATACCGGGCTCACCTGCCCTCCAGGCTCTGTCTGAAGAGGTGACGAGTACACACCCATGTTAGCTTCTAAATCTGTGGCTTTATTCATTTAGTTTGTTGGCATGTAAAGAGTGATCAAGCCCGTCGGCTGGCTTGACATGACCGCAAGGATTTCAACACAGGAACCAGACTGACAAAAACAAGAACAAATTCAAAATATACGAATGTATGTATAACATGAACAACATCAATTCACGGCTAATTAGTCACAGGGTAAATACATTAGTATCTTTTAATTGTATTTGTTTATTTTAGCCTTAAATCTGTATCATACTTCATACTGTACGACCAATTAGTGGATTAGATGCAGATTTGATATAAATATCATTCAGGTTTGAGAAGAGAAGCAGAATCACTGCTGTTGATGACCAGTGTACAGACAACAACAGGGTTTCCTATCATTTTGATTAAAACATGTCTGTTTGATTCCAGTGGCTCTTTGGCCCAGAGGCAGTGTCTCTGTCATTGGTGTGGAACCCCAGGGTTGACCTCCTGGGAAAGTTTGAATCCCGGTTAGGGTGGTTGGTACGGTGCAGTGTGATTTGAGTGGCGACTGCTGTCCCCGTGACCCAGTAACGGATAAGCGAATGAGAAAGGATGGATGGATGTTTGATTCCATTTTAGAGTTGTTCATTTTTGACAGTTAAATAAAAATCTAAGGAGTCAAAGGTCACACAAGTCAACAGCTGACAAAGACACTGATAAAACTGGTGGAAGATGTTGGGGCACAGACACTTGTTTCAACATGTCTCAGTAATTAAAGTGACACCCATGTCTTAGAACTTCTTGACTCAAGCTATGACGACTAACAAATATCCATTGAACACCAGGAAATGATGGTCGAAATTTTAGAGAATAGTCCCTGATTTCATTGTAGCGACTGTGACTCAACTGAAAACAGGAGGATGATGGATGGATGATGGATGGATGATGGATGGATGATGGATGGATGGATATTTCCTCACACTTGCAGTGTTGCCTACACCAGAAGTTGTTTGTTTTCTTTTGTGCGTTGCAGTGTTTTCATTCTGTCCAATGAGACGGTGAACATCTGGAGCCACCTGCTGGGCTTCCTGCTCTTCTTCTCCCTGGGGGTCAACGACCTCTCCTCTGTGTTGCCCTCCTCTGGAGCCAACAGAGAGGACTATGTTATTTATGCCATAGGACTCTTCTGCTTTCAGGTACACTGTCTGCATGTACTGTATGTACTGTATGTACTGCATGTGGGTATTTGCTTTCTGTCTTTCTGTGTACTACTGGAACAGACAGACAGACAGACAACAACAGTTTTTCTCTGTGACTAATCCAAATGATGGAATTATGATATATCAATTATAATATGTTCATCTTGACAGAGTCTTGTAGAACAATATTAGTCTACTGTCCCTCATGGCAGAGATGTTCACAAGTCACTTTTTCCAAGTCCAAGTCAAGTCTCGAGTCTTTGAGGGGCAACCCTAACCCTAACCCTAACCCTAACCCTTTTTCAGAGGTCACAAAGACCCGTCTGTGTGTCGTCTGTCTGTAGCACATTTGTATTGGGCGCTCGTCAGCTGTTTTTAATGAAATATTAACAGACCATCTGAGGTCTGTGACTGGAAAAATAACAAAGTGACTCATGGAGGTCCTTGAATTTTCTGCCGCAGGTCCTTGAACCTCTCCATGCTCAGGTGTGTAACATGTTAATCCAGGTTGTACAGTGTCTGTTACTGTATATGCTGCCATAGAAATGGAACGGTGTAGATCAGCACTCCTACTGTGGCTGGATGACTAGACACTGTAGAGTTTTAGACTTGAATGTTATATTTCACTTGTATCTGAGTGTGTAGTGTGTGTAGTACAGTGTGGTAATCAACGGTTGGTTCGCCTCCCTTTCACTTCCAATATTCAATCTCAACCTACTTGTTGAAAGATTTTTCTTCAGATTTCTGGTGGACTTCTGGCAGAAGAATTGATTAAAAACTAAAGTTTTTTTCTTCAAAATTATCTTTGCACCTTCTTTGAGCTGCTGCCTCCAGGGGGCACCACAGAGGATTATCTGCCTCCATCTCACCTTGTTATCTGCCTGTCCCACTTTGACATCAAACATCTTCATGTCACTACATCCTTCCTCAGAGGTCTTCCTCAGCTCCAGTCCAAACCACCTCCACCTTCACTGTCCCTCCATCCTGGTCGCTCCCACTGAAGATCTCAGGATCTTCATCTGCTCTCCTCTTCCCTTGTGGCTGTTAGACAGGTCCTCCTCCTCTTCCTCCTCTTCCTCCTCTCCTCTTCTCTCCACTGCCCACCCCTCTGGGTTGTTGCCCTCTTGTTGTATTTCCACTTTGCCTCCACAGTATAGATTGTTGCCCTCAGTATTTCCACTTTGCCTCCACAGTATAGACCTTTAAACGAATAAACCTTTTGCCCCGTCCCAGGTGTGTATGCTGTGTTCTGTGGGGTATCATCTGTTTTCGTGCCACCGCTCGGAGAAGACGTGCCGGCGCTGGCTGGCTCTGGACTATGCAGGCATCTCCGTTGGCATCCTGGGCTGCTACGTGCCTGGAATCTTCTACGCCTTCTACTGTAATGCAGTGAGTCTTCATCATCTTCATCATCTTCATCATCATCATCATCGTCACCTCTGGGGAAACAGGGATTTACCTGTAAGACTCTTAAGAGACACCTGATGTTTGTCTTCTTCCTGTCACAGTTTTGGCGACAGGTCTACCTCCTGACCGTCCTCTCCCTGATCCTGGCCGTCTTCTGCGCTCAAGTCCACCCAGATTACCTCAGCAACGACTGGAGACGCATACGAATGGCCATCTTCTTCTGTGTGGCCGGCGTCAGTGTGATCCCAGCATGCCACTGGGTGTGGCTTAACGGTGGCTTCACCTCTGATGTAGTACAGGTCAGACACCAGTGTTCAGGTTATAGCTCTATACTCTGTCAGTCTCACATAGATCTGGATCGTTCTGTTGAACCTCCAGGTTTTCCTGCCTCGGGTGGTGGTGATGTACCTGATCGCTGGATCGGCCTTCCTCTTCTACGTCACCAAAATTCCTGAGCGCTACTTTCCTGGTGAGTCACCACTGGGTGGACCTCCATTATCCCACAATGTTCAAGTGATTGATGGTGTTTTTAGCGCCTCCTCTGTTGACAGCAACACTCTTTAAGGAATGACAGCATTCAGTTTTGGTGTTTGGACCAATCAGAAGTCCATCCTTTATTTCTCTTCTAGGCCAGATGAACTACCTGGGAGCCAGCCACCAGGTGTGGCACATCCTGGTGGTTGTGATGTTCTACTGGTGGCACCAGACGGCTGTGTACATCATGCACTTAAGACATAGTCAGCCCTGCAGCAGCAGCAGCAGCAGCAGCAGCAGCAGCAG